GTTGATAGACCTGACAGCTGATACTTACATCACGCGCCTTACATGAATTGAATCTACCATATGTGGTCTCCAGGAGCTCCATATCTCCTCAATCACCTGTCCAGTCGGCTATGAAAGAGGCGGTAATCAAGCAACACAATTTTCTCAATCTGTCATAGCAAAATTCCATGGTGCATAAACTCCAGTATCCTCAAGTCTAGACTAATACTCAAGTTGCTTTNNCAGGCCAACCGTGCAACTAAAAGGTCCAGACACAAGAACTATCATATTCCCAAATCTCAAACCAAACACCAATATCCGTATCTTTTCTGTCACCAGTGAGTTTCCTAGGCAAATATACTCCATCTCAGTCCAAAACTCTTGGCCCAATCTCGCTCGATGTACCCCAACAATCATTGCCATCCCGTTTTGTCACTTCTCGCATGGCGATGTCGTCCTGAGCCCTGATATTCCCTCAGTTCAGGTCCAGAGTGTATCCCGCATGCTCGTGTCTACGAAGAAGAGTATCGCGCACCATCTTCTAGGTGGTGGCAATCTCCTCCACATAGTGCTCGTCCTGCTCCCAGGGCTCATCCGTGTCATCTTCCCTAGGCTCCTTCACGTCGATCCAACAATGATGAGGTTCATCTTTGGGTTCATCTCCCTCCTTGATCATCCAGACACGCGCGACAAATTGCGGATCAGCTCCGCCAGGAAGTCGTCGACCAGGCTCAGGGTCGTATCCCAGTCGGTGAACAATCGGCTCTACCTCGTACCACGCCAGGGGAGAGAACTGGACTTTGTGGGTTCGCGTATGATACCGGAAGCCAGCCCACTTTCCTCCGAGTGAGCGAGTTCCACGGCTATACCCATAGAGCCCGATGAATGGTAGGTCTGAATCATGAATGTAGGTTTCATGTGGGTTGATAGATGGGTGTAGATCTTCTGGCTGCGAGATAAGAGCCGCATGGTGGGATGTGAAAATTGAGGGAGGGAACGCCCAAAGGATTCCAGTATCAGCCTGGATGCCCTTGTCCTCGAAATATCGGGCCGCGATGGCGTTGTAGGACCCAACGCGGTTGAATCCCCAACTCTCACCGTTCGGGCGTGGTGCTTCGATATCCGGTCCCTCCATCTGAAAGCCGGAGATGTGCCACATACGGCTCATCATGGACACCGACACGACGGCTTCCTCCAGGAAAGGGAAGCGAGAGAACATGGGGAGGTCGGTCTCGAAAGGCTCGTTTTTCCAACGAAGACTGTTGGCGACGGTTTGGGCTCGGTTGGTTCGAGAGACTATCAAAGTCAGCGATTGCAATCAAATGTTTTTAGGAAGACTTACCGAATCCCATGGTGTCCTGCGACCGAGGCTGCATAGGGTAGTGATTCGATACGATCAAACGACGGATGGGCAACGCTTCTTCATCAACCGTATATCCAGCCGCTTTCATAGATCGAAGCCAGGAACTGTCTGGTTTCGGCTTTGGAATAGCCATCCAGAATACAACAAGGGTATCCTGCATAGGATTCATCGTGAACTTGATTCTTCCATCCGCCACTGCGATGGCCTTGATGTAGTGGATCGCTTCCACTACTCGCTTGAAATCTTTGGACACCCGCTTGAGCCTTCCTACAGCGACATAAGGCGCCCGGTGGTGAACCTGAGCCCCATGGTCAATGGGGCTGGACATTGGAGGGATCAAGTATCCCACAATGGCCACCTTGACCTCCATGGGGAGTTTCGAAAAGGGGAACGCCATCTGGTAGAGCTCGTATGAGATATAAAACGGGGATAAATAGAGTGTAAACTGATGACTTGCTGTGGTGGTGTCGTCAATGTTGTGTTGAAGTGTATATCCAAGGTCCAAGTTTAGACAAAAGGCTTGGGTGAGAATAATCCGCCGTAGGTTCTGGAGACGGGAGGATATGAGAAGGGCAGAAAGGGTCTTATGATACTTGTGTGTCAAACGCCCGGCGCGCTGTGGAAGATGTTGTGCTTTCTACAGAGCCGGGGGGATCTGGTTGGCTTTCAGATAGTTGATCAAGGCGAGGTTGATACCTGCTTTCACAGTCAAGAGCGGTGAGAGATGTGATAGGGGGCTTGAGATCAAAGAGTAGATGTTGCGTAGAGGGAGAGATTGTTGTCGATAGTTGGTACTCTCAAGGATGTTGTCCTGTTCTTTTCGTTGTCGAATTGATGGAAGGTTGTGGTGATACTAAGAGTTGAGATCTTTGGTAGAATATGATAGAAGTCTTACGATGTGATGTTGTGGATAAGAAAGATGGGCTGTTTCTGCCGTCAAAGAAGATGGATGAAAGTGTCGGTTGGGATGATGGTTCCGGATGTTGTGATATGCGAGGATTAACTGGGATGAGGTTTCAAGAATACCTCAAGACTTGGGATAATAGAAGATAAAGCGATGAGTCATGGTGGATGGATAAGAGAGAGTTTCGTGGGATATTTGGGATGATGTTGGTGTATGAAGGAAGAAGATGGAAGAGTTGATCGAACGCGAAGTGTGGGGTGAGAGACGAAGAAGGAAACGCAGTCGCTGCCACTGGCGGTATCAGATTGTTTGTTCGCCTGGCCCATGGAGAAGTTGGCAGTGGAAGTAGAGGGGTCTCAGAGCTGCGGGTGCTGCCTGGGCTGCTAGTCCCATGCCGTTTGAGTCATTCTGGTGACGAATCATCCATCCCCTATTGAAAATGGCCAGAACTTGCTTCTGAGGGCAATGTTCACACAGGCCACGACGCGAGTGATCATGGTGATGTTCACTTGCAGTGAGAAGTTCTGTAAAACTTCTCGCCGAGCCCCTCAGATGTATAGCGATTTAAGCCCGAACAGGAGTCGGGGACATTGTCATGAGCATTCCGGGGAATAACATGCGATATATCATCTCATACTCCAGTCGGTACTTATGTTGGTAGTCTCAGATATGGGATGAGGGACGAACATGATCGATCTTCTGAAGTCACAGAAAATAGGAAAAGAAAGACAATTGGACCTAGCTTCTCTTTCACTTTGAAGTATGTCTAGGACTTTTGCGTCCTTCGTCTCAGGCACTCAACATGTGACGAAACACCAACATCACAACTAAACCGGCGAGAACTAGGCTCTGCCTCGCTAGCGCGGCTGTTACCGCTGAACACTATGTTCGAGTTCACCAGCAACACAAAATCCCTCACAGAAGTTTCTTAAGCCCAGGCCATTGCCCTGCTCACGCGCATGTTGATCTGGTGCGGGTCGCGCGTCTCCGCTTACCCGAATGAACATATCAAAAGTCCTTATGAAGTGGTGTTTATGAGATGGGCCATTGGGCGGGCATGCGTGTAATCAATTTCTGGGACAGGTGCTTTGCTTGGCATTCCTAAGACGTGTTTTCGGTGTCCAATGTATCAGCAGCATCATCCGGTATGGTGTAGTGNNTGTACCGGAGTTTCCTTTTGCCCTTTCCAGCGAGTGCATCTCCATCATTTTTGCTTGACCTTGTTTGTCGGATTGACCTAAATCAGTTTGTCTGAATTGATTAGTCTGGAGCCATTAATTGACATGTACGTGAAACTGGGAGAGCGCGATTGTGTGAAGCAGTCTGACATTGCAAAAGAGACCAAGTATTGACATATCTACTCTACTATCTCTATATCCTTCAATTCCTGCTCAAATGCATCATCCTTCCAGAACCTCTTGTCAAGTCCAAATCATCAATTCATCATCCAATGACTCTTAGTAGACATAGAAGATCTCAGTCTCGCTATCTTGAGCACGGAGCTTCTGGTTGCGTCTCTTGAGAATAATCTTAGCAAGCCAAGCAAGAGCAGCAGTGCCAATACTGAAAGCAGCACTGCTGGCCATGGCAATAGCATATCTAGGCTCGTCGCTCTTGGGCCAGAGATAAGGAGTCCAGATAAAGCTAATGTTCATGATCATAGTAACCATGCTGATGGCAACAGCCTTCTTCTCCTTGGTCTGACCGCAGACAGAGCCGCACCAACCGAGGATAAGACTGTTGACGGCGTAGGTTCCGATGGTGAAGATGACCATGCAGACGTAACGACCGGCAGTGTTGAGCGTAGCGGCGGCGGAAGCGAAACCGATGACTGCGACCGTCTTGGAGGCGGTGATGTGCCAGGTTCGTTCGTTGTATTTGCCTGACATCCATGAGACGAGGATGGTGCTGGCGCCGGCAATGAGGTAGGGAGGGCATGTGAGGACAAGAGTGATGGTGGTGTTGAAGCCGAGAGTCTTGACGACAGTAGGGAACTAACTTGTTAGCAATTGACTCGAAGCGAGGAATTGAGATACTTACAAAGTTCTTGAAGCCGTTGGCAGCCAAGTGAAGATGAGCCATGGCACAGAAGATCCAAACCATAGGATCACTAGCAGCCTGCTTAAGACCCTTCAAGGTGCTAGTCTCACCCTTGTTACCCACAGTATCAAGCTCCATACGGTTATGCGCAAGCTGTCTCTCCTCCTCAGTCAACCACCTAGTAGTAAGAGGGAAATCAGGAAGGACAAAGTATCCGATAACAGCAATCACAAAAGTGACAGCACCCTGGAGGATGAAGAGCCACTTCCAACCAGCGAGGCCAGCGACGTCATCAAGACCGTGGAAGATACCAGCAGCGATGAGACCGGCGAAAGCAGTGGCGAGGATGTTTCCGGTGTAGAGGATGGCGATGCGGGTNNTGCGGGTGTAGAAGATGGAGAGGAGATAGACGGCGCCGGGGTAGTAGGGGGCTTCGGTGAGACCGAGGAAGAAGCGGGTGAGGAGCAGACCCTTGAAGTCTTTTGCGACGGCGGTGAGGGCGCTGACGACGGCCCAGAGCATCATCATGATACCCTGAGATGTTAGTTTAGATGCTTGGGGAGTGGGGAGGGGAGGAAGCTTACC